GAACATAAAAGTATTCAGAGAGCAATTAGTGTCTGCTTCTGAATTAATTTTATCAAAAAGTAGGGCCTGCCAGGTAGCTCAGTGGATTAAAGCGCCTGCTTAAGCAAGCACTAGGGGATCGGGGTTCCTGTTGGCTCTGTCTCCAGGGTGCGCTGAGACAGCGATTGAGACAGTGTGGTGGTGCGAGCCTGTAATCCCAGCATTTGGGAGGCTGAAAACAGGAGGATCACTATGAGTCTGATCTGTGTAGTGAGACCCTGTAGGCCCTGTTATTAAATACATTTAAAAAAGTAAAATTGGAGCCCTGCCCCGTAGCTCAGTTCTTTAAGTGGCTGCTTCAACAAAGCAGTCAGGCTCAGGTTGCTGTGGTTCAATCCCCACAACCCAAGCCAGCCAAACCTGCCCTGAAGGCATTTGGAGCGCAAAAAAAAAGGTAAAATTGCTATTTAAAGAGACTTCAGGGGCCAGGGAAATGGCTCAGTAGAATAAGTGCTTCCCTGGCAAGTGCAAGGGCCTGAGTTCAATGCCCAGTTCTGCCAGCAACAACAACAAAAAAAAGACACTTCAGTTTTTAAAAAATGGATGCACCTAAGAGTCAATAATGGGGGGAAACGTTATGAATCATGATAACAAAAAGCCTTGTTTTCATATGCATGCTTTAAAGGAACAAATTGTAAGATACGTTTATTTTTTTTTATTTTTTTTTTAAATATTGTCCTCTTTCTTTCTTTCTTTTTTTTTTTAACATTTATTTATTGTGTGTGTGTGTGTGCGTGTGTGTGTGGCCAGCTCAGCCCACCAGGGGGCGGGGCTGACTGGCATGTGGTGCTGGGGGATCGAATCGCGGTCCTTGTGCTTTGCCAAGCTTGACCACTGAGCCATCTCTCCAGCCCCATAAGATACGTTTATAAAAGTGGCTAATGTGCTAGGCATGGTGGAACATGCCTGTAATCCCAGCTACTTGGGAGGCTGAGGCAGGATTGAAATTTGAGGTCCATGTTGGCTGAAATAAAAAAGTGTTGAGATGGTGGGTCAGTGGCAGAGCACCTGTCTAGTATGTGGGAAGCCCTGGGTTCTATCTCCAGCACCAACACACACACATGTACACACACGTGTGCACAGCAGGAGCGTGCTCCCTGGGCGGAGCGTGGCTCCTGATTCTTCGTGGGGCTAGGCTGGAAGACAGCCAGGCTTCAGCAGGGAAGTGAACAGCGAGAGAGAGTGGGCTTGGAGCTCATGCAGCAAGGTCATCCAGGTAGGAGCATGATAATCACTAGTCATCTAATGATTTATGTGTGTGAAATTTTTAAGTTCTTAAGAATTTCTGTTTAATTTTGAGAACTATAGTTATCTGATTAGCCACATACTTCGTAATAAAGTAGCACTAGTTCATTTAATATTTTGAAAGTCTTCATTATTAGAAGGGGAACTTTTTCTTCTCTTCCATATTAGTAAACCTAAAAAACCATCACATAACCTTCTGCTTCAACGAACAAATGGAATAGATCTGATCCATTTTAGCGTGCAAGTATTTGCTCATCTTTGGAGCTTCAGAAATAAAGGATCTTGGGGCTGGGGAGATGGCTCAGTGGAATAAGCGTTCCTCTGGCAAGTGCAAGGGCCTGAGTTCAATCTCTGGTTCTGCAAAAAAAAAAAAAAAAAAAAAAAAAGAAGAAGAAGAAGAAGAAAGAAAGGATCTTGGCCCAGGGAGACAGCTCAGTAGAAAAAGTGCTTGCCTGACAAACGAGTCCTGAGTTCAATCCCTGGTACTGCAAAAGAAAAAACAAAAAACCCAGAAATAAAGGATCTTAAAAATTGTGTGGGTTAGATGTGTAAACAGTGTACTTAAACATTCTTTTCTTTGGTTTATTAGTGTGTATTTGAAGTACTTAGTAGTGACTTACATAGGTTTTTTTTTGTTTTGTTTTGTTTTTTTTTTTTGCGGAACCAGGTATTGAACTCAGGCCCTTGTGCTTGCCAGGCAAGCGCATAGTCTACTGAGCCATCTCCCTGCCCCCATAGTTATATTGATGTTGACAGTTTTTCATTGTCACTGAATTTGCTCCCAGATCTTTTAGAGCTTTACGTAAGAAGAGCTACTCCATGTTCTGACGTCTTCCTTCTGTTGAATTCCACATGGGGTTGTGGCTTAAGTGGTGAGTGGAGAAACAGAGAAGAGGCTGTTGTCCACACATGTCCCTTGGAATCCGAATTGTATTTTATCAAAGTTTATCATTGTCTTTTGCATTTCAGTTGGAAGTAACATTTCTCTCCCTACTATACTTGTACGTAGATTAGAAAGTTCTGGAAGTGCGTGTGCACACGTGCGCCCATGTGTATGTACATGTTAATCTCTCACATTGGTCTCCATGGGATGGACTTAAGTACCTCCCAGGGCTGTGCGTGACGTTCTGAGTGGCACTTCTCTGCTCTGTGACCGAGCAGTGGAACTCCATCCTCACCCCTCATACCACGTAAATTCGCTGTTGGTACTTTCAGGAGATAGTGCTGATCAATCTGTGAATATCGACCAAGTTTAACTTTGCTGCTGAGCTAATCAAACAAAACACTGTATCTCAAGTAGCATTGTTTGGAAGCCAGTTCATGATGGGCAAATTGGGGTACCTTATGGTCTGAAAGGGTTAAAAGAGGTAGCTTTTTATATTTTGCTTATTTTTTAGAGGACTTTTTAAAAAA